CTCCTCCGGGGGCAGGCGGGAATCGAACTCATGCAGAAGTGGCTTAAGCTTCTTTGTGCAGTGCTTTAACCCGCTGCGCCACCAGGGAGGGCCTCAAAATATTTTTTAATGCTCTGATTCCAGTGTAACACTTAGGCTTTTTCCAAATTTAAGTTATGCCAGGTATTATGCTTAAAAGCTAAATTCACATCAGAAATAACAGAATAACAAAATTTTAAGTAGCATTGACCTTGAAAAACCCGCATTTTCTTTAGTATTTAGAAACTTACCATTACTCTGTAACACCATAAAATTTTGATTGTATTTGTCACTTTGTTATACTTGTAATTTAATATATCACCGTAAGTGCAGTTTTAAGAATCTTATTCTATGGCATAGGTCTCGGTAGCATTTAGATTGACATTTGTAATTTATCCTATATTCCCATAAACTTTTCTGATGAAAATGTTTCAGATTGTCTTCATTACATATTTAGCATAAACAGTGAAACAAACCTCATTTTTTTTAAAAAAAAAGATTTATTTATTTATTCATACAGAACTGGGGTAAAGGCCAGAGGTGCAGGAGCAGTGAGAGGCTTCACCAGAGACAGGGTGGGGAGCAGAACAGGCAGATGGATGAAGTACACTGCTGAGGGGAGCAGCGGGAAAGACAGGAGAGGTCTGCCAGCCATGTGGGTCACCTCCAGGATAGGGATTGAACTCATGCTGAAGTGGCTTTAACTTCTTAGTGCTGTGCTTTAACCCACTGCGCCACCAAGGAGGGCCCACAAACCTCATTTTTATAAACACAGAATTTTCATTTTTACTTGAAAAGATTCTAGACCATAAATTTCTTCTTTTTTAGATTCCTGGATTTTGCGAGAATGAGAAAGGTGTTGTCCCTTGTAATATTCTAGTTGGCTATAAAGCTGTATACCGTTTGTGCTTTGGCTTGGCTATGTTCTATCTTCTCCTGTCTCTGCTAATGATCAAAGTGAAGAGTAGCAGTGATCCCAGAGCTGCAATACACAATGGGTAAGTTTTTAAATAAATTTCAAAATTAAAGTTTGGTAGTCTCATCTTTGTTTTTTGAGTTTGTCTAAATTTTAAGGTATGATAAGCTTGTACAATATGCAGAATTATTTTATTATGCATGTACCACAAAGTAAAAAAATTATTTTGCCCCTATTAGAGACTACCACACTTGGAAATATTTTAACTGTAGTTTTGAGTTATTTTTGTAGTTATAATCTCTGATGCAATGTTGCACATATATTGATCCTGAAAAGATATACCATATCTGTGACTAATAATGAGTAGCTTTTTCCTCCTTTAGGTCTAGCTTTAGTAGACCAGTCTTACTAGGTAAAACTGAAATAAATTCGTTAATTAGCAGTGCAGTCAAAATGAAAAGGATGGTAGATTTTCTAAATGGTTATACAGGATATTATAGAAACTTGATTGTCCCTTTAACCAGCCCTTAATTTAGATTTCCACTTTTATAGTCAATATGTTTTGAATTTTGTCTTTGTATTTTCCCCCATAAATTAAAACATATTTTTGACTGTTATGCTACTGCTTATGTATTAACATGTTGCCAGAGACAGGGTGAATGATAAAATGAAATGTAAATATTAATGAAATGTATGATAGGTTGATTTACAGCATTTCCCCCCTTACTTATTACTTTCTTTTAAAAATAACATTTCTATAATCATCTTCACTGTATTTTAAAATATTTCTCAAAATGCATCAGAGTAGCTATCACAGCCATTACTGAGATAATAGGCAATTCAAAGTAGTATATACATTGTCTTTGATATTTTTTGTTTTTAATTGAGATGCAGTTAACAAAGTTATGTAGACCTAAGTTGTACAGTGTTGATTTCATTTGTTTTGATTTTCTTTTTTAATTTCTTCTTTGATCTCTTGGTTTTTGGGAGTGTCATTAATTTTCTGCTCAGTTTTATGAACATCCCAATTATCTTCTTAATTTTTATTTTTTTCTTTCTTTTTTGGTCAGAAAAGTTAATATGATTTGTCTCTTCTTAAATATTAAGTCTTAAAATTCATTCTGTGTCCTGTCATTTGATTTGTACTGAAGAATATTCCATGTGCACTTAAGAATTTGCGGCTGTTGTCAGATGGAATGTTCTATAAATGTTTTGGGTCCAGTTTGCTAATACATGTTTTAAATTCAGTGTTATCTTGTTGATTTTGTGTCTAGAAGATGGGTTATTTTTGTTAAAAGTATAGAGTGATGTCTACTACTATTTAATGTATTATCTATTTCCCCTGTAGAAATACTTCTGTAATGCTGTTGCTGTAATGTTGGCTAGGTAGATCTATATAATTGTTAAATATTCTTGAATTATATTGACTCCTATTTCATAATTAAAATTATTTCCTTTCTCTTTTTACAGTCTTTTGGCTTTTAAGTCCATGATAACACAGAATATTTCTATACCAAAACAAAACCACTATGTACTCATCTGACAAAAGATTGTCAAACTAGTAAATATGTCATGATTCGCTTATCTGTAAGTTATTCAACTGCCCTGCCTTCATGTGGTATCGCAATTGACAGAAATTCTGATAAGAATATTAAATTGTAAGTGGTTTATAGTTAATAGGAAGGACTCATCTTAAAGTGATTTGGTATTGTAATGAAACAATTTTAAGATGGGTATCTGCTGTATTTGAATCCCATAGGCTGTGGGTTTCTTACCTTTTTTCCAAGTTTACCTGATTTAATTATTTCAAAGTTCTGCCCTTTTATTGCTTAGTCTATCTTACATTTGATCTGCGATGCCACATATATTCTCTGTTGTGCTTTTTCTTTCTTTTATTGAATTCTTCAGCTCAAGAATTTTTTGGGATTTCTTTCCTTGCCAGATTTCTCATTTTGTTCATGTACTTTTTCCCCTGGGACTTCATTGTGGTTTTTGTGTTTGCTTCTCATTTGTTGAATTTCCTCACACAGCTATTTTAAATTTATCCACAGGCTCTCAAAATTAGATATTGAAATTAGATATTGAAAGGTTATTCTTTTGATGAAATGTTTCCTTGATTCTTAATGTTCCTTGTTTTGTTGCTACTTTCACACTTGAATTAGCATAGGTCAACTTAATTGTCTTTAGGTGGAATATGCTCTTCATTGATCCCATTATATCTTGGGTTCTCTCTCACCTTATCTTTCATATATCTGCCTCATTTTGTTTGTTCCCTTTTGTGGCAGAATTCCTGATATTTTGTCTTCTCTGGCCAACTGCTGGAAATCTTTCATTTTCCAGAAGGTGGCACTATAGGTCGTTTGAGATTTTTTTCCCCTGTTCCTTATGTATATTTTGGTTTTTCTTTCGAGCACTCCATTACTGGATCAACTCTCACTACCACACTTCTGGTATAATGTATCTCAGAGTCATACATTATTGCACTTAATGTGTAACATAAATCAGTGAAATGGAGCTAATACTTACTACCTCTTTATCCTAATTAGAATTATTCTAAAGCAAGTTTATACAAGTCTTCATGTCTCATTGTCAAGATGCCCTCAGAATAGACACATGAAGTAGCTGTTTTTTTAGGATTATCTGAAAAGATTTTATATATGAAACAGTTGAATTTATGTTTATTTTCAAATTTTCTTTTTTAGATTCTGGTTTTTTAAATTTGCTGCAGCAATTGCAATTATTATTGGGGCTTTCTTCATTCCAGAAGGAACTTTCACAACTGGTAAGAAAGCCTTTAAAAAAAAAAAACTATGATATTTTTATAAAGACAGGAAACATTGCCTGCAATTATGTAGCTCTGTTTTTTTTTTACCCCTATTGACTATTGTGATTATGGAAATGAAATTATAAAAACAGCCATTCATTGTATACCTTTCTTTTCAGTATGGTTTTATGTAGGCATGGCAGGTGCCTTTTGCTTCATCCTCATACAGCTAGTCTTACTTATTGATTTTGCACATTCATGGAATGAATCCTGGGTTGAAAAAATGGAAGAAGGGAACTCAAGATGCTGGTATGCAGGTAAGTTTTTGTTTTACAGGACATCTTTAAGATGACTGAATCTTGAAGGTCTTGAAGCTAAAGCATACCATGCAGACTAGAAATCCTAATTTTGATGGTTTGATTTTCTGAAGAGAGGTTCTCAGTTTAAAAGGCTACATAGTATATATAAAATTGTATTAGCAACTTCTTTGAGAGATACTCATGCACTAACAAAGAATCCAAACATCTTGAATAGTTAAAGCTTAGTGTTAAAATTGTATAGCTACAATAAAAGTAAAATATTAAAGGAGTAACAAAGCCAGAAATGATAGCTTGTCATAAAGTAGAAAAAATGAAATGTAAAAATACATACAAGGGAAAATTACAAAAGCAACAGAAACATTTTAATGCAGTGGGTGCTTCTACTTATATGAATAACAGGAATTCTTATAGTAGTATTGTTTACTTGTACTGATTAAGCTTGATTCCTCTGATTACACTTTTAAAATTTGGATCAGGGGCCTCCCTAGTGGTGCAGGGGATAAATCTCAGCACTATGAGGCTATCTGCAGCCACTGCAGCATGAATTCCACCCCCAGCCAGGGAGGTGACCCACATGGCGCAACAAACCTTTTCTGTCTCACCCCTGCTCCTCTTAGCAGTGTGCTTAAGTCAATCCACCTGCTCTATTCCCCACTCTGTTTCTGGTGAATTCCTCTGATCCCCGTGCCTCTTGTCTGTACCCCAGTTCTTGTATGCATAACTAAATAAATCTTTAAAAAAATTGGTTTCAGAATTCAGAAGCAGTGACAAGAGGGAAGAGAAAGTGTTTTAAGTGCACATGCAGGCCTTGTGCAAACGGTAGGACTGTGACAAATTAGAAAAGGCCTATATCTAAAGTACAGAACCTCTGTTCATTTATACTCAATGTATGTTATTGGGAATACAAAGCTAGTGTTGCTTGGTTTTCCTGATTTTTTTTCCAATAGAAGTGATAAAGCTGGGCTTTTTAAAAAAGTGAAATGATTTTAGTTTGTTGAAAAAATATGTGTTTAGAGTGAAAGCTAAACCCGTCATACATGGTAGCTAATACTTTTTTCATTCAACTAGTTTCTGTAATTTGAGCTAGTGGTTAAAAGATAGTTCATTAGACAAAGAATTAAACTTTTGTCATTTGGAAAATTCACACATCTAAAATACCTTTCTTTAATGCAAATTCTAATTAATGCACTAAGTTTCTGGTTTGTTCCTTATCATGTTCCCAGGGAAGGAATTTTTAGGTATTCAGTGTTTGTTGGGTGGATCTCCCTATTAATGATGCAAATACACACACACAAAAATACATGTGTATACACATGTGTATACTGAACACATTAACACAAACTAAAACAAATCATGTTGAAATTTACATATAAAAATTAACTAAATAAAAATGACTTATTCTTACATGGTTTTTAAAAAGGTATTATTAGTAGTTGCTGAATAAAGCATTGTTTTGTGGTTATAGCATTAACTTAAGCAAATTCTGTACCTTAATGCCTTTGTTTACAAGTGAATGATTATAATCTTTAAAAATCTATGTAACAATCCCCTTTTTATGTATGTTGAAAATGCAAGTGTGAATATTTTTAAGCTGTGATGATTTTATCAATAAAAATTACTATTTTAACTTACTGTTCTTGAAAATATATCAGTTAGCTTTGTATAGGCTATAAAACACTCCTGTGACAAAGTTTCTATTTTTTTCCCTGTATCTGTAGTCTGAATAATGTTGACAGTTGCTTAAATATATTGCAAACATAAGATTGTTTTAAAATGAGTCTTGCACTTAAGTTCTAATATTTGTAATAAAATCTAATTATCCAATTATATTTCCTTCACAGCTTTGTTATCAGCTACTGCTCTGAATTACCTGCTGTCTTTAGTTGCTATTGTCTTATTCTTTGTCTACTACACTCATCCAGCCAGTTGCTCAGAAAATAAAGCATTCATCAGTGTCAACATGCTCCTTTGCCTTGGTGCTTCTATAATGTCTATACTGCCAAAAATCCAAGTATGTTCTTTATATCATTACATTTTATAGAGCTTATATTTTTCTAAGTTTTCTTATGTGTTGAAAATGTCAAAATATTTGGGTTGCTTTTTTTCTTGTAGGAATCACAACCAAGGTCTGGTTTGTTACAGTCTTCAGTAATTACAGTCTATACAATGTATTTGACATGGTCCGCTATGACCAATGAACCAGGTATGTTTTGTTTTTCTTTTTAATGAATTCTGAAACTTAAATGAACCTGCTAACATGAAGCTCCTTGAAAATAGTGTAGGGAAATAAAAATAAAACTATTTTCTTTCATCTTTGATGTATTGCCATATCTTACACTTTTTCATGAAGAAATTTATATAAAGGTTTTATAAATATGTGGAAATTTAAAGACTAATTATAATTAGCACAGTGAGCATGATAGTTAGAAAATGTGTTCAAATAGTTGATTCACCAGTTAACAGTATGGTTTTTACCAGCTATGAACTTGTTTCATCTGTGACTAAATGTAATTAGGCTTTGTAAAGAATCTCTTTAAGATCATTTACTTTGCATTCCACTAAAATGGAAGCCAATATAAGTCAATTGGAATGAAACAAACTAGTGAGAAATTAAGTGTTTTTTGAACACTTAATAAATTATTATGAAGTATGTTATTTGAATTTTATTTCATTGAGTTAGATTCCATATGTATTTTGTCATTTTTGCCATTAGAAGTTAGGTTGTTATGTTTTTAGTAAAGATTTTTTTTTCCCCCTAGGTAAGAGTTAGAATTTTATTGCTAACTCTTTTGTTTCATTTTAAAGAGGTCATCTAACTTTTCCACTAGTCCCTAATTAATAAAAAGCTTAGTATCCCACAAAATGTTGAAAATAATGTTCTGTAGCTTTATGAAGGATTAAACTTAAATGCTTTTTAAAGGTCTCATTACTTATAACCAGAATTACTTTTTTGTTACACTTGTGCCCTTTAATTTGCAGTAGTATATAGTGTTAAAAGAACTGCAGTTCTTTTACACCCTGAATTTTTATACTATCCTAATTTGACATTATATTTACATTACAGAAACAAATTGTAATCCAAGTCTCCTAAGCATAATTGGTTTCAATACAACAAGCACTATCCCAAAGGAAGGTCAGTCTGTCCAGTGGTGGCATGCTCAAGGAATTATAGGCCTAATCCTGTTTTTATTGTGTGTATTTTATTCAAGGTAAGAAAAGTTATGGGAAAATTGTTTTTTTTTTAACAAGTAGAATTATGAACCATTCTTTTTAAATGTTCTTTTCCTTCTTGAACTCTTCCATGTAGCATCCGCACTTCAAACAATAGTCAAGTTAATAAACTGACTCTAACAAGTGATGAATCCACATTAATAGAAGATGGAGGACCCAGAAGTGATGGGTCACTGGAAGATGGAGATGATGTGCACCGAGCTATAGATAATGAAAGGGATGGTGTTACTTACAGTTACTCCTTCTTTCACTTCATGCTCTTCCTGGCTTCACTTTACATCATGATGACCCTTACCAACTGGTACAGGTACTTGTATTTTGTTAACAACCTTGCATGTAGAATTCTGACCAGTGTTTGTGATTCCATTGTAAAATGTACAGAGTATAGTAAGTCTTCAGTGTTGTTGATAGTCTCCTGCAGATTACAACTTAACTCAAAATCATGTATAATGAAAGCCACTTCTCTAACATCATTTTGCTCAGAGGCAATCAGGATTTTTTTAATCTAGATCAGAATGAAATTATATTGAAGGAAACAATATTTAAGAACTGCTGTACTTTCTATTTTTATTTTCAGTGTATAACAATAGCTGTAAGTAGCTAAATAGATCAGTGTGAGAAAGCACACTTTAGTTCCCTGCTTTAGTATTAACAGTGAACTATTTAAAAATCTTAGTTTCTATTTACAGATCTTAAGAGTTTCTTGTGAAACTCTTATAGAAAATACACATTGATAACTGAATGTTTACTTTCTGTATTTTAAGACTGTAGCCAGTAGTGGATAAAAAACAAGGCAATTGATTAATCCAGCAGCTGTCTACTATTGTCAAATTGTATATACAGAATACTTCTGAAGTGAAAAAGCTTGGTAGCTTAATGGCTGATAATTCAAACCCCTCTTTTTTGTTTCCCTTAAATTTTAGGTATGAGCCTTCACGTGAGATGAAAAGTCAGTGGACGGCTGTCTGGGTGAAAATCTCGTCTAGTTGGATTGGCATTGTGCTGTATGTTTGGACACTGGTAGCGCCACTTGTTCTTACAAACCGTGATTTTGACTGAATGGGACTTCTAGCATGAAAGTTCCACTTTGATCATTGTTTATCTGAAATTAACAGTATTTCCAACTTTTGTTAAGTTCATATGTGTGGACTTCCCATGTAACCTTTCCAGTGTTCTGGCATGAATTAGATTTTACTGATTCTATTCATTATTTTCTTGCCAAGCTCATTGCTGTGTGTGTTAGAATGAATCAAAAGAATTTTTTGAGTATGATGGTAAGTTATAAAAGTAGACAATGTTAGGGTTATCACTGCTGCACATGTGAAATTAAGAGTAAAAACAATACTGTTTAACAATTTGATTTTTAAATCATGTAGGAACTTACTGACTTAGAAAGTATACGAAGAAATTAAAGACTGTCTTATGAAATATTTGATGCCTTGCCCTACAGGAGACTGCAAAGAATATTGTTTTCTAAGATCAAGGGAGAGGAAGATTTGATGGATAACAGTTCAGCTTATATAGGAAGGAAATTGAGGCACAGACCTTCAGAGTCAGATTAAGTAGGTAATAAATTATAAATTAAATACCTAATTAAGTTATAATAATTCTGGGCTAGGTGTGATCTCTTAGCAACAGTGGATTTTGTTTTGGTTATTACATAAGTATGGGTTTAATGGAGATGTTTTTAAAAAGGATAACTAAAGGCTAAAAGGAGATTAAAAAAGTTGCTTTGACAGTTCTTTCTGAAAACAAAAAAAATGGACAGGAAGAAACTGCTAAAAACTTGACCATAGTATGTAAAAAATCTAGTTCAGTCATTTAAAAATGAAACTAAAGCACAGACTTACACATCTCAAAGGCAGAGTTGGAAAATCCCAAATCTGCCATAAATAACCCACATTCTTTCTGGCATTGGAAATAATTTCTATTCAAAGTAAATGCATAATAGATTTTACACCTCATTAGTAATCTATGTGATGTGGGTTGCTGGTGTCTAGCATGCCTTCTACCTATAAACTTGGGGGATTAGGAGTATGATGGAATGCTGTAGAATAAAATGCTTACAGTACACTGTACAGTTCAAAAGATGTTTAAATGCTTCTGTATTTGCTGCCATCTAATCAGAAATAAGTTATGTTTATAATCTTTCAACCTGCAAATCCAGCATTACGACTACTAGCTTCTATAGAAACTTAGTTATTTGTGTCATTAGTAACTTAGTGAATCTTAAAATACACATTTGCTTCTTTTAAGATATTAGTACAAATGAAATGTAACAATTCAGATACTCCAGTTCTACTATGTGTTCATACTGTGTTCCATATTTTGAATGGCTGTGTTCTATCTAAATAAATGGATTCAGAAAAAGCATGTTGTGACTGAATTATTTAGCAAATCAAATGTAGGTGGCTTTAACTCCTGTATAAAAAGAACCTGCCCTTTTTTGATCTGAAAACTGAGTTTTTAAAGTGATTTATATCCGTTTGGTCTTTTCTAAGTTAACTTTTAAAGGTGGATCTCAGAGGTAATTAAAGCATATTCTCCTAAGAACTTAATGAAGGTGAATCAGTTTGAAGATTTTTTTTAAATCCATGTGATAGATATCCTACACCTGCTGTATCCTCCAGACATTTTTCTTGAGGTGCCAACTGAGGTTCTTTCCCCAACACGATAATAAATGGTTTACAAACCACTTATTTAAAAAAAAAAAAAAAAGGTAATAAGGTGTTCTAACCCACAAGATTTATTTACAATTGTCTAAATTTCTCTATTTGTACGGGCAAGACAATGTCCCTAGAAATTCTAGGGCACTTCCCCTCAAGAAAGAAAAACTTCACATAAAAACCTATACACAGATGTTTCAGTAACTTGATTTATAGCTGAAGCTGCAAACAACTCCAATGTTATTCAACAGGGGAATGCTTAAACACAAAATGATGCATCCTAGCATGTTGTACACACTGAAGACGGTATGAGCTACTGGAATACACCATTTGAATGGATCTCATGAGAGGCATGCTGCATTAAAAAAAGCCAATCCCAACTCGTTTTACACTATTCAAAAATTAAAATGTTAGGCTCAAATGTAAGACAAATCCCTAGAAGAGAGCAGTAATAATGCTCCTTAACCTGGGTCTCAGTAATGACTTCTGCATAGGACACCTAATGCATAAAAACAAAATCTAACAAGAGACCAAAACAACTTATGGAATGAGAAAAAACATTTGCAAGAATCAATATCAGCAATAGCAAGAAACAAAGGACAAAGTAACAGTAGGCCTTCTTACAAAGACAAAATGTCAACAGGTAAATAAAAATGCTAACTGACACTACTCTTAGAAATGCAAACTAAAATTATAGTATCACACCTGTTTGGCAGGTAAATGGCATGAATGTGAAGAAAAGTCTTGATATGCTCTTAGTGAGATAATAAATTATAACTACAGAGAATATGGGGAGTCCTCAAAAAGTTAGAAATAGAACTACCATAGGATCTAGCAATCCCACTTCTGGGAATATAGTCATAGGAAATGAAAAAACAACTTCAAAAGGCAATTCCCATGTTCTCAGCAGCATCAATAATAGCAAAGACAGATACAACTAAGTGTCCACTTAATGGATGAGTGAGTAATGTATACATGGTATATATATATCATACAGTCAGGAGTCACAATAATGAAGGTATGTCTGAGAAAGAAAACTTTCCACTGTGTGAATGTCAAATACAAACCTGGATGGACAGCCTATAAACTTAACCATCTAATACAGTTTATTAGAACCACTCATATATGAGAACCATTACTGATCAAAATGTTAAGTGTCATGACTACAATGAAATAGTCAACTACTGTTAAAAAAAAAAAAAAAAAACTAGAAAATCCTACTGTTTATGACACATGGATGGACCACAAAGGTATGTTTGAAAAGAATAAATCTTGGCCTTCCCTGGTAGCACAGCGGGTAAAGGCACTGCACTGAGAAGCTAAGCCACTTCTGCATGAATTCGATTCCCGCCTACCCCAGAGGTGACCACATGGCGTGGCAGACTTCTCCGGACTAGCCCGCTGCTCCCCTCAGCAGTGTACTTCATCAAGCTGCCTGTTCTGCTCCCCACTCTGTCTCTGGTGAAGCCTCTCACGGCCCCTGAGCCTCTGGCCTGTACCCCAGTTCTGTATGTACAAATAAAATAAATCTTAAAAAAAAAAAAGAATAAATCTTTACCAAGAGTTTTCTTCACATTACACCAATACAAAGCATGACAGTACCAGGAACAAAAGGCCACAAATTACAAAATAAATGTGCAAATTCATAAAAAAAAAAAAAAAATTCCAAGACTTACTTAAGGCAGAAAGCTTGAGCTAATCATGACTAACGAAACTTAACAGTAATCACTAGCTTCCCTAAAACAAAAGCCCAGGATCAGATGGATTCACCAGTGAACTCAAAACTTTCAAAGAATATCTATCCTCCTCAAATTCTTCTGTAAAAGTGAAAGGAAGAGAAAACTACCAAATGCATTCTATGAAGCCAACATCGCCTGATTCAAAAACCTGACAAGGACAATACCAAAAAAAAGGTAAGTTTTAGCCCAATATCTCTGATGAACATGGATGTAAAATCATGAACAAAAATACTAGCAAAGTGAATTTAACAATGCACATCAAGAATCATACCATGACAAAGTACTGTTTGTCCCAGGGCTGGAGGATGGTTCTACATTATCAAATCAATGAGTATGACAGCTCCCATTAACAAAAGGACAAAAACCATAGGATCACATTAATAAACATTGGACAAAATTCAACATCCTCTTATGAGAAAAACCCTCAATAAATGTAATGATGAGAAAAAATCCTCAATGTATTTAATATAAGCCCACAGTCAATATCATACTGAATAATGAAAACTCAATTTTTTTGGCCAAGATCAGGATTTTAAGACAAGGATTTCCATTTCCACTAGTATTCAGTATAGTGTTGAAAATAAGTATAATTATATAGAAAAAGATAAAATGTAACTAACTGGAAAGTAAACTACCATTACTTGCAGATGACAGATACAGAAAATTCCTAAAGATGCCAGTAAAAAACTATTAAAAATAATATGAATATAGTAAAGGCTACAAAATTAATATAAAAGCATGAATAGTGTTTCTATATGCAATTAATAAATAAGAAGTTACCAGGAAAACAGATGCAAAAGTTACTAGTACCTTGTAATAAATTTAATCAAAGAAGTGACAGACTTGTATGCTGACAATTGTTAAGACATTGCTGCAAGAAATGAAAAAAGGAAAAGATATTTTGTGCTCATGGATTGAAAGAAGGCTGTAAAAATGGTGACACTATCTAAAACAATATACAGATTAAGTGCAATCCATATCAAAATCCCAATGGCATTCTTCACAGAAATAGAGCCAAAAATACACCATGAAATTTATAAGGAACTATGAAAGATCCTGATTAGGGAAATAACACTTCTGAGACAAAATTCCAAAAGTAGAAGAGATCATGCTCTTTGACTTCAACCTACAATAAAGAAATTGTGATTAAAACAGCATGATATTAGAATAAACACACATACACAATAGGTCAATGGAATAGGATCAAGAATCCAGAAATAAAACCACATATATGTGTACTATTAATTTATGACAAGAGCTTAAATGAAGCAAGGAAAGTCTTTCTAATAAATGGTGCTGGGAAAACTGGACAGCAGGATACAAAAGAATGAACTCAGATAACACTCTGATATTATACACAAAAATTAGTTCATTATGGATTTTATAAAAAGTTGAACGTAAGATCTGAAGCCATAAATACATATAAAACAAATAGACTTTGAAAAACAAAGCAAAAATACACAAATGGGATTACATTGACTAGAAAGCTTTTGGACAGTAAAAGAAAACATCAAAACAAAAATGCCCTACTGAATGGGAGACGCTTGCATATCATGTCTGACAAAGGATAAAAATCCAAAATATACAAAGAACTCATAAAACATGACAATAAACATATAACCTTATTTAAATACTTCTCCAAAAACAGCTTATAATAAGATTGTTAACAGGTACATGAGAAGATGTGCATGTTTTGTAGGGAAATGCAAACCAAGATGAGCTATACCTCATACTTGTGGAGAATGTCTACTATCCCAAAGACATGACACAAGTATTGGAGATGTGTGGAAGAAGGGGTCCTTGTACTCTCTTGGTAAGAATGTATAATGTTGCAACTATTATGAAAAACAATATGGAAATTTTCAAAACATGTAAAATTAGCAATTTCATGCTCTCCAGTTATAATGTCACCTTGTTTATGGCAGCATTAACAATAGCTTAGACCTAGTATGACCCCCGGCAGAAAAGTGAATAAAACATGTGGTATGCATACACAAGGAATACCACTCAGCTATTTAAGAAATACATTATCAATGGACCTAGAGGGTCATTATGGTTAAGTGAAATAAACTAGACAAAACACCTTATGTGGTATGCAGAAAAAACAAATGGATGAACTACATAAAACAAAAACTTAGATAATTTAGCAGTCACCAGAAAGAAAGGGTGATGGAGTAAGGAATCAATTGCATGGTGAGAAACACAGAACTGGACTTTTAGTGAACTCAATTTAATACAAACATGTTTGGTTTCAATGATACATACCTAAAACATTGTAACATGATGTTACTTTAAGAGAAACAAATTCAAATCTGGCGAATTTTTTTTCTTTTTCTATATCTATGTGAGATATTCATGTTAGCTCATAAACCTACATATTAGCTGAGCCTAGCGGTCACATGTTGATATAAACTTAAGAATCATTTCACAGCATGTATAACTCAGAATCAAATCATGCTGCATGCCTTTAACTTACAGTGATGTCTGTCAATTATTTCTTTACAAACCTGAGAGTGGAGGAAGAAAAACAAATTCCAAAAGGTCATACACAGTATTATTTCATTATGAAAAAGGGGAGATTATTAGAATCTGTAATCAGTGGAGAGAGGGATCACTGAAGATAAGCTGAATGTTTTAAAAGAAATTACCAAATTGTTTCCAAATTGAGTTATCATTTATAGTCACACCATAGATACAATGAGTAATTCAGTTTCTTTGTATCCTCATTAGCATTTGGTGTTGTCATTTTTAAATTTTAGCCATTCTTTTTTTTCCCCCAAGATTTTGTTTATGCATACAGAAATGGGGTACAGGCCAGAGGTGCAGGGGCGGCGAGAAGATTTACCAGGAACAGAATGGGGAACAGAACAGGTAGATCGAAAAAGTACTCTGCTGAGGGGAGCAGCCTGAGACACAGGAGAGGTCTGCTGCACCATGCGGGTCACCTCGGGGGTGGGGATCAAACTAGCACTGAAGAGGCCACAGCTTGGCTTAGCTTTGGTGTGCAGTGCGCTCCAACCCACTGCATCACCAGGGAGGACCCCAATTTTAGCCATTCTTAAAAGGAATGTTATATCTGACTGTGGTTTAGATTTGCCTTTCCCAAATGATCAATGATGTGAATGATCTTTTTATGTTATGTGCCACTCACCTACCCTCACTGATGAAATGTCTGTCTTCATGTTTTTTGACCATTTTCTAATTGGATTTTTTTTAGTACCCTGGAGACTTGAGAACTCTTCATATATTCTATTTCCTTGTCCCTTCTCAAATTGTTGTTTGCAAATACTGTTCCCAGCCTGTAACTTTGCATTTCCATCCTCTTAGAGGGTGTTTTGCAGAAATTTGTTTGACCTTCAACATTTTTTTTTCTTATTTTTGTATTTTACCTTATTTTTTATTACTTTATTTTTAGGCTGTAACATTTTGACAGACTAGAAAATCATCTCTGTGTACTGGACAGAGTACAGTTCTATTCCTCTACCATTATTTCCTTTGTGCTAAGATCAGATGAAGAGAAATTCTGTTCCTTCTTTAGTGTTATTAAGGCTACCCAAAGAAAAGGAAGCAATTGAGTATGTGTATATATTGAGAAAGACATTATACGTGACTCAGAATATGAAGGTTGACAAGTCTAAAATCTGTGATGAGGGCTGGAGACAAGGATATATAAAAGATCATTATTTGTAGGTAGGGATGCCTGGGTTATTCTTGAAACTACATGGTAGGCATCATAGAACTTCTAGGCTCACAGAAATGTTTCTTTTGACAATTCAACCTATTAAGTCAAAACTAACAACAGTGAAAAGTAGTTTGGGCCTTTGATATATGTTGAAAAAGGACTTCGGTTCTTTGCCCTTTCTTCCCTGAAAATCAACTGCTCAATCCAATCATGGGGTAACCCCAAACTGAGAGACATTCTACAAAGTACTAGGCTAACAGTCCTCAAAACTGTCAAGGTTAGTTTACCTGTATTATAATTAACCTGTTTAATACTTATTCCTTGAAATTTGCTGATATACTTCATGGCATAATTAATGGCAACTGTTTCTCAACACGTAGTTCATATATGCTTGAAACAAAGTTCAAGATCCTAATTCTTGTGTTATTTGGTCACTTTCCCAGTCTGCAGACCATTTGTTCTGATACTTTAGTGTCTAAAACTCCTGATCATTCCTATGAAACACACAGTGATGGACCCTAAAAGAATATTTGGCTCTTTAAGTCACAAGCTATCTCTAAGGGCCCTATTTCTATCTCCCTGGGATAAAAGAATGTTGGAAGTAAGGTGAAGATGCACTATGTTGTTAACTGCCTTCATAATGTGGTATTCCAGATTGTACATAGGTAAACTGTCTCTGGTAAAAATAAGCTGGATTATTACCTTTTAAAAAATCGGTTTCCATAGTTTTCAATTTCCACACATACTCTTTCCTAAAGTTAATCTGCCTGCAAAGATGCCTCAGGACAAGGCACCATCTTTCTTAACAATAACTCTCACATTTGACCAAGCAAAGATATACCTCTATCTGTTCTAAATCATGTTAACCAATTATTTTTTAATCAAGCCTCTAAATACAATAAAGATTCAATTTTACATACTGGCATGAAAGAGTGATACTAACTAGTTAAAAACAAATCCTTGTAATTCAGAAGGTTTCCACTTTGTGTAAATCACCTGCTGATAAATTAACAAAATTCCTCCCAATCACATCTACTTACTTTTTTGCACATAAACAGGACTTTACATCTATAAAAGTAAAAAAGAAATTAGTGTTCTATTGGTAATTATATTCATTGCTAGGAAAAAAAATGTCTTTCTGGTAAAATTTTATGTTTAACAACAGATCAATATAAGAATTATAATGTATTAGTGAGTACTAAGAACTATAACAGATCTACCAAAAAAATAAAATTCAGAGGCAAGTGATAGTAAAAGTTTGTCTTCTTTTAATCTAAGGTCTATAAAGGCTGTCTAGGATTAACCGCAGCACTCCTCTCTAAGCAGCAAAAGCGACATATTACTCTGCATCAAGTCAGGCAAGGCAGACTACACAGGAGAAGTTTTCACGGATCAGACCCTGAACTTTTGTACATCACTCCTCCTATATTAAAATCTAGTCAACATACATTTTACTGAGGTGCAATGGGGTATAGGATCAAGAATGGTGGGGGGAAGGAAGTGCACTGGACTATGGTGATGGGCACATGGGTGATTTGGTGATGGGAAGAGCACAGAGATTACTACCTGAGATGGAAAAAGGCACAAAATGATGTAAAAATAAACTATTATATTATTTTTTTAAAATTTCAGTCACACAGGCCCTCCCTGGTGGCGCAGTGGGTTAAAGCACAGCACTGAGAATCTAAAGCCGCTTCTGCATGAGTTCGATTCCCGCCTGCCCTGGAGGTGACCACATGGTGTGGCAGACCTCTCCTGGCCCGCCCGCTGCTCCCCTCAGCAGTGTACTTCATCGATCTGCCTGTTCTGCTCCCCACTCTGTCTCTGGTGAAGCCTCTCACCGCCCCTGAGCCTCTGGCCTGTACCCCAGTTCTATATGCACAAATAAATAAATCTTTTAAAAAAAAAAAAATTTCAGTCACACACTCTGTTTACAAGGTAGAAGCAATCTAACTGCATGACAGGAATAGGAAATAATTTGGTAGTCAGTTTAAAAGTCACTGTCACATGTATCTGTACCATTTTGATCCCCTGTATTTATAATACAATGTATTCTTTAATGCTTAGAATCTTAAGGCTAAATATATGTGTAGAGAAATGTATCTTCAATGTATGATTTTTAAGCAAATAAAAATAGGATTAATATTCTCGAAGGATGAAAAGGATAAATACCGGCTCATGTCAACGTTATTTATATATTTTTAAGTAAACTTAAAGGACACATGTAACAATAAATATAGAAGTATTAACAATGTCCTAAATTCCTTCCAACTATTAAAAATTAAGATAAAAAAATTTTAAATGTAATCTTTTTCTCATTGAAAAAGAATCATCACCTTTACCTGGTTTAACAAGAAATAGATGTAAAAATCTTAAAAGTACTAGGGTTGGGCCCTCCCTGGTGGCTCAGCAGGCTAAAGCACAGCACTAAGAAACTTAAGCCACTTCCTCATGAGTTCAATCCCTGCCTGCCCTGGAGAAGATCCACATGGTGTGGCAGACCTCTCCTGACCCACCCGCCGCTCCCCTCAGCGGTGTACTTCATAGATATGCCTGTTCTGCTCCCCACTCTGTCTCTGGTGAAGCCTCTCACCGTCTGCATCTCTGACCTGTACCCCAGCTCTACATGAATAAATAAATAAATCTTTAAAAAAAAAAAAAAAAGTACTAGGGTTATTAAAACTTTTCATGGCCATCCTGGTGGTGCAGTGAGTTAAAGTGCACCACTGCAAGCTAGCAGCAGCCACTTCAGTGCGAGTTCGATCGCCTGCCCCAGAGGTGATCCATATGGCGCAGCAGACCTCTCCTGTCTTGCCCACTGCTCCTCTCAGCACTGTACTTCATCAATCTGCCTGTTCTGCTCCCCACTCTGTGTCTGGTGATCCTCTCATGAACCCTGCACATCTGGCCTGTATCCCAATTCTATATAAATAAATAAACAAATAAATAAATCTTAAAAAAAAAAAACTTTCCAAATTATTTTTACAATACTTGTAAAACTTCAAAATGAACCACAAGGTAAACACTTGATCATATCTCACAATGAAGAAAGGCAGGGAAAAAATCTCTAAAGTTAACTCTATATTTGAATGCCTCCTTCCTGTTACCTTAACAATCTCTACAGCATGTATGAGAAAACCTTTCAGGATCTTGAATTAGTTCACTAACATTTCAGGATATGCTAGAGGAGGGTTCCCTATGACTATGTGCTAGGCTTTACTATAAATTTTATATCACAGTAAGAGAAATTACAGGATAACAAGAAACAGAGTATGACCAATGTGAAGGCTATCTGTTAATTCCTATCAAATACCTCTATAAAATATCCAGATTATTAACTACCCTGTTCCAATTCTCTACTTGAAAGTAGAATTTTTAAGTGATAAAAGAGGTCCCTGGTCTTATATTAAGTATCTTAAGATATTCCTGAGAAACTGTTCCAAAAGGAAAAGGTGATCTGATGGTTTCTCTTATCTCTCTGAGCAAAAATTATAGGTCATGGTAGTATCTAGTGACAATGTCTTACCTCATTTGGGACAATGAGAGGTATATTTCTCTCAGTTCTTTACTAGAAATGGAAAGCAAGCCAATATTTTTTAAAGAAGAAATTTCTTCCTTGTTGCAATACAGTTTATATTTTGAGATGAGAAACAAAGATCTTGATGTGACTCACATTAGAAGGGACAATTGATAGTTTAGTTTAAATCTACTTTCAATTGAGGAAAAATTATTACAAGTGGGTATCACCTACAAAGAAGGCACATAACAGACACCAGTACACAACATTCATTATATTTATTTTACTAAATAGTATGGTTCAAAAAAAAACCCAGAAAAGTTTTACTTAGAACTAGTCCAGTGAAGTAGACAGGGTTGATGCCATCCCATCCCCTTCATCTACATATATAGAGCTAGAACCATGTAAGACAGCAAGCACTCATGTACACTTTGCCTTTCCTGCTGAATATGAATGAACTTCTTGAACCAAGAAAGACAAAGAAAGTTTTACAAGATACAGGCACTTTATGTTCCCAGTTTTAAAAGTATGCCAAGTGAAAAATACTTAATGAAAGTAACTGGAACAGACAAAGTTTTAGGAATTCTACCATTAATTCTAGTGACGTACACTCAGTGGGAACAGACAGCATCAAACAAGACAACAAAAGTTTAACTGGGGTTAATAGGCATATATGTAAAAAAGTAATTCAATTTACTATAATTGAAGGGAAATTGCCATTTGAATCCAAATTAAAAGATATGCCAATAATGTGCATTAAATCTTGTGTACCTAAATAGCTGAGTAACATCTGAAAGCTTTGCATGAGTGTGTGGTTAGTGAGAAAAGCAAAAGGTGCTTTCTATTCCACAGTATCTGGTTAGACAAAAACAAAGCAATTTACAAAAAAAAAAAAAAAAAGTACCAAATGATACTTTAAAATAAATAGTTCATCATTTTGATGAATATATACATACATTGTCCACTTTCTAGGGATTTAGCTATCTAAAAGTGGCATGTCACTATCCAGAGGTGCAGGAGCAAGTTCACATAAATAAAACAGTGTGGCTTCACTAGCTTCAGCTTCAGTCAATGGCTCCAGGCGTACAAGCTTACTTTGTGTTGGTTCTGGATCCAGGCTGCTATCCAGAAGCTCATCAACTTCTATGGGTTTATCTACAGTGGACATAACTTCTGAAGATGCTGTACTTCCCTGTTCAACAGTAGAAGCAGGGTTCCCATCCAGGAATGCAAGAAGTGGAAAAGCAGTGTACTGGATAAGCTGCTTGTCTATACAAAAGATTAGAAAAGTATCCTTTTATCACCAAGTTATAAATACAGAGTTCAAGCTGAAGATGGAAAAAACAAAAGGAATTGTGCACATATGCAATCACTACCCTTACTTGGTTTAACAAGAAATATGATACTGTGTGAGTAAATTTAAAATGTGCACATCAGTAAAGTCAAGTCTTACTCAACAATTAAGAAATAAGGGTTCTTTTAGTTCTCCTAGGGTTAAATGGGGGAAAGAGAACAAGATAATTTGCCAAACTACCACCTCATCAATTTTCCCTATGACCTTATCCTTGACATATTATACATAAAACTGAGACCATATAGCTTGTGTTCATCTGTTAAGTCCATTAAGGCCTCACTTAGGTCAACAGATCCTTAGAAATTATGCTTTTAAACTAAATGACATTGTATTTACTATCAGGTTGGGATTATTTTCTTCTTATCAACATTATAAAGGAATGATGCTGAATGTTATCTAGGACACACTGTATAAATGAATTCCCTTTGCTAGAAGTAATTTTTAAAAAGCTATACAATCTCTGTATGTGTGTGTATATAACTACATGTGCATATAAGTGTATATGTGTGTGTGTGTGTACATATACCTACCTGCTTTGGGTTTAGATTTTCTTCCCTCTTCTGAAACTGGCTGAACTACATTGTTCTTGGTTGTTTCTAATCCTTTATTCTCGGACTAAAAGAGAAAAAAATAATATAAAAATATTTGCTTCATATTTTGTATTTCTGAACAACAGCAAAAGTTATTTAAAAAACCTGGCACAATATATGAATACTGGTCTACTATCTGAAATATACAAGAAGGGTAAGCATCAGGAAAAAGAAAGACATTTAAATAGAAGTAACAAGACTGGCTAAGAAAACTACTGCTGTTATCAAGGGATGAAGCAAAAGAACCTAAACTAGGATAATAATAAGTATGAAAAGAAAAGGGAGGGGCATTTGAACAGAATAGACAGAATTTGTCAAGGGTAAAAGATGGGAATGAATCAAAAATGACTGGTTTCAAATTGCTAATTAAAAGATAACTCTTTAAGCAAATTCATGCTAAACAGTTTTGACTAAGTTTAGTACATATTTCTCTTTACTCATAAAACAAGAGTATTTAGCATTAAGTGAACATATTTTGAGTAGCTCAGGATAACATGATGACATCCTTAAAGCTATTTCTCTCTATAGTTAGAAGGCTTAAAGATGAGGTCGTGCTTCTTCATTTCCACTTTGACTCTTTCAGTTCTTTGCGATCATCTGATCTCTTCTTCTCTTCTTTTAACCACTGTTTTCTCTCCTTACATTTAACTGTAAGGGTATTAAATCTTTAATGTTGTTAAGTTCTTCAATGTTCTTTTCAACGATGCTCTATTTGAGGTGCAGAGGTTCACAATGTTTCTGAAAAGCTGCAAGTCTCAGATATTTGCGTGTTGATTAAGCATATATAACAAACATACTAATTCCCATTATTCCCCTGATTTTCATCCCATAAAATGAAGCAGTAAAGTTTCCACAATGGAGAGAAAAGCCCTCTAATATAATAAAAATAAAACTACTTAAAATTTTCCAAAAATTTACATAAAACACTTTCTCATTTATCATTCATAGTAAGTATTCGTGCATAATAAAGTCAAATAATGCAAAACCATTATTTTTATATTTTCTAAGATAGGTGTTTTTCAAGGATGTCACTGTTATTATTTGAAAATATAAGAACAAGGATAACAAATGGGTTTCATCTCCCATGCATGTCATGATTAGTAGTGGTCACACATATTGCTGTACTGAGAGTGTTAAGGCATCCTGATTTATGAGGAAAGTACCATAATCCATAAAACAACAGAATGACATCTATTGTACCAATTATTTCAATAAATTAATTCCAATTCTCTAAGTATAATGAGAAGTCTCTCTCGTTTAACTCCTATATAATACTGTAAAATAATATGTCATTAGCTTTTTACTCATTTATGAAAACTGGACTTAAGTTATTGTTTTCTTGGAATAAGGAAGGTGATCCAGAAATGGCTCAGTGCCTAGCAATAGTAATACTAAAGGAATGCATGATGTGGGTCTAATAATCCAGTAATGTAATCACATTTATTGAAATATAAACCTGTGCAAACTACAGTCTGCATGCCAAATTCAACTACCAGCTTTTGTAGATAAAGTTTTATTGTAACACAGCCACCTCATTCTGTTATTGTCCATGGCTGCTTAACATTACAAATGCAAAGTAACTGTGAGAGAGAACATATAAAGAAAAAAACTGTAATATTTACTAATAGTCTTCTTAACACAAAAAGTATGCCAATCCCTGATAAAAATCATTCAAACATTGATCTTACAATCAACTTTCTAATTCAACAATTTACAACTTCTTTCAACTTTAAGTTACCTGTGCTATAAATTGAATATGCAGAAAATGTGAGTTATTTTCACACAAGACAAAAGTCAGAAAAACTCCAACCCACTCCCTCAACTCAAATCACCTTTATTTGACATGCATTTATTTTTAAGATTACTAACAGGAAGTTTGAACAATCTCTCAGGACTTGATGTACCTTTGAATTTAATAAAGATCAGGGATTACTAAAAAACTTGTATAAATACAAGGTAAAGAGTGTAATATATACTGTTCATAAGATACAGTGTTCAAATACTGTTCATAAAAATGGTATATACTGTTCATATCAATAAATGATACAAATCAACAGGATGTTTTTTAAACATCTGCTCTAACCACTTCAAATGGTCATTAAAGACCAGTTATAAAGAATTATAAATCGACCAGTTATAAAGAATTACTTATCTAATCCCAACTGCATTTCCTATGTTTAAAAAAAAAATTATTTGAAAAAGTTCAAAATTCATCCTACATTGTTTCAATTTGCCTAGCCTACAATTAGTATAAACCCCTGAGCTTTTACTATATGCTAACAAATGAAAGAACTTATAAAAATATGACAACAGGTACCAATAATATTTTTAACGAAAAAATGCTGTGAATTTGCTTATAGAAGGAGTAATATAAAATGAAGTACATAAAACATGAGACAATCATTTTAATAATTTGTTTTCAGTAACATACCTGAATATGCCAAATTCAGTGAGGTAAATCTCCCAGCAAGCTAGCCCCTAATTTCATCCTGGCAGTTAACTATACAACTGCCAGTAGAACTGGACAATAATTTGCCCCATAATCAAGAGCTAGTTTTTAACTCTAGAATTTTACTATCTTGATCACAAATATTAGGTGAGAATATAAAATGCTTTTTATAACTTGGAGTGATACTGCTCTCTCTACTTACTAGGACTTTTTCAGATTCTTACAGCTATGGGTCCTGAGCAACATGAATTAAAACTTACTTTTGTATTATTGATGTAATCTGTGGGATTCATCTGCACAGAACTAGTGAAAAGCTGAAAGACCAAACAAGAAAGATGATAAGTTTAAAAATATTAAAAAAGAATTAACTGTGTGTTCAAAATTTTTATACAGCCATCTTGGGTGAAGATATGTAGCTCCTGCACTAAAAAGTTCCATACAGTAAAACAAGTTCGGAAGAGAAAAGCAAGAAAAAGCAGAAAGAAAAACAAACAATAGCAGAGCAAACTACCCCATGAATTAGATGCTAAGAATTTTTCTATTAAGTGTCATTTGTCTCACTTGAAACAAATGTTTTTCCCCACATCCCACTCTCATTCGCTTATTTTTTCCTTCCTAATGTCTTCAGCCTTAAGTAGCACACAGATTTAGTTTCTTGCCCTGACACTAGCCTTTACTGATTACCTGGCTAACCATGTAATAAATTTATGGAGTCTATTCTATAATAGTGGTTCCTAGATTATACCTGAATTGAAACTCTGGCAAATGGCATACCTACTTGTTGGCTATTTGCCTCTCAACTAAGTATGGGATGCTAAGACCACTGATTAATGAATTCCTTAAACCAGTCAGTTTGCAGATAAAACTTTTTAAAGTCATGTTTCAAAAAGTCACTCATTCTGCAAGGATTTATTGAGCATCTAAGAAATAACTTGACACCATGAAGAATACAAGATGAAGACACTATTCCTGCTCTCTAGGAGCTTACAATCTAAAAGGCAAGATAAGAACAAAATCCAACAGCAATATATGATCAGATATAATCTAGTATCATAATAATGTATGATGGGTCTCAAATGTACTAAAGAATTTTAAGAGAAAGATAAAGAAAGAAAATACAGATACAGATAGATACTGACAAACACATACAGGATCAATAAAAAGTCTTGATGAAGTTATGTAACATGTATCAATCTCTCCAGGATGGTTAGAACTAGGAAATAAGTGGATGTAGGGAAAAGTACATTGTTATAGCATTAGCAGCAACAGAAGGAGGAATGGTTGTAGAGTAACTTTTAAAAACAGTCAAGTCAACCACTGCAAAAAACAAAATTCAGACTTGAGTAAATAAGTTATAAACATAAAGTTCAAAAAGTAGAGAAAGGTCAAGCTAAGTGGAAAAATCCACATTCTGTCAGCAATAAGAGTCTTGGGAAAGGTAGGAACAATGAAATATAGTGATTAGGATATTTTAGGTCAGTAAGTATAGCAATGGCTCACAGAATATAATGAAATGCACAAAGACCACAGGTAGAAGACTTTTACACACTCTCTGAACAGTGATCCTCTCCTTAGAGTTCCTTATTCATGGTAGCCCTAAAAAATATCCCAACTCTTCCCTTCCTTTCATTAACTATTCCTTTTTTCATACAACCTCTCCTGGTGCATGAAGCAGATGAGACTATTTCCTTAGGTAGGAATAAGTTATACATGATTACCAACTGCTGACAGCTCACCTTGTCATCACCTCAGATGCCTCATTATTTTTCTCCCTACTGAGAGTGGAATATGAGGAGGATCGGCAGTGAAATCTCATTTCTTTTTTGCCCCACTCCCAGTAGCCACTGAGTTAGGAATACTAACATGTTTACCCAGCAAAAGCAAGGTGTAAGGTAGAAAAAAGTAGATCACGTGAGAGGAATGATACAGTTGCTTGATCCTAAGGTTAGGCCCCTAGTGTTTCATTACACACTAGTTTATTTAGTACTGAACTCTGCAGAGAGAGATTCATGAACTCTTCAGCATACTTACTCATGCCCTTACCATCGTTATTCTCTCTAGAACAAAACCACCTATGATTGAATTTTTAAAATTTATGACGATACGGCACGTTTCAACAATGAAATAATGATGATCTTAAAAAAATAGTGGTGGCTTATAAATGCTGTTTTTGGAAAACACACAATACTTGGTAAGTTAGATAAAGGTAAGGAAACTAAGATAACTTCGGGATTACTAGCCTGGGTGAATAAGGAGAAATCTGTTAATACTATAGAATAATATTATATAAAATAAAAAGTCGAAAAGGATATACTGACTTTCGAAGATAAATAAAAGGTTGTCAAATTGCAATCTGAGTCAAGACCTAACTGATGACCACAAAGTCATGTAATCATAATTCTAGCAATGTATGCTTTAAAAAATATTAAGAGCAGGAACTATATATATGAGATCAATCCTGTAAGCCAAAATCACCTCATACAGGAAACCTAGAAAAAGGTAGGAAAAAATTAAAGAGGTTTAAGAGACTGAATACCTTGGGGAATACTGACAAGTAGTGCACAGGAGGAAAAAGAAATCTTAATGGGAAGAGAGAATATTTAGGGAGGGAGGAAAAGAACAAAGAATTATGTGCTTCTAAGTCAACAGAAAAATTGTGCTATGGAAAATCAAGTGTTAACAACAATAATGTTAGTTAGCTTCCTCACAACATTCCTTCATGTCCATTATTAGCCATATTTAATAGATACTAAGGTGATTAACTTTACCAAGGCTAATAACAATAGCTAGTAAGAAACAAAGCTAATAACCGAACCCAAATTCGTCTAATTCAAACAAGTCCTCCATTAGCCCAATTCTAATTTGAAGAAAAAAAAAAGCCACTCTTTTAAACAAACAACAAATAAAGACAATACAGGGTTTCATTTGAAGTAATAATACATTAATAAGGAAGTACCAACATACCCACTCATTTCTACAAAACTGTAGTGAATGAAGAGACTAGAGAAACAAAATGGTAAAGAAACACACCAATACAAGTAAAAATTTTAAGATGAGGACATTTCAATTAACTATTAAAATCTGATGGAAATGATTAAGGAGAGATAAACCGAAGAAGGCAAATGTAAAAACTGGCTTTAGATGGATACAAATATTTCTTCTAAGAAAATTTAAGATTCCATAGCTTCCCAGAGAAGCAAAACACTGAATTACCACCTGTGAACAGGAAAGAGTTAAGTGGATAAAGTATTGAGGACAAATAAGTGTGATAATTGTGCCAAAGTTGGAGTAAAATTATCTAGTTGAAGATGGCAAGGATTAGTAGAGGATCAAAATTACGGAATTTTATTTTGTTCTTATTGGTCTAATAAGACAGCTATTCTATAAGGTCATCTGATAAAGATGATAAAGGATAAAGACTGACAGACTCAATCAAGAGGGTTATCAAGTTCCTGTTAAAAATCCCTCATTAATATAGATGTTGGATTCATTTAAGATGATAACACAGGTCAGCATAAGAAGGAAATCTTCAAAAACTGGTGAAATCCATTCTGTGAATCACTGATGATTTGGAAAAAATAGTCACATGATACTGACAAAGACTGATGAGAAACAGAAGTAAGATGTTAAATTATTAAGACTAAAGAACTAAGACAGGAATAATTCCTTTTGGCCTCACTGAGCAGTTTTTAAAAGAGAAAGACTACAGAAACTTTTAGCATAAGAAAATTTGTATTTTAACCAAGAAATGTAAAAAAAAAAAAAAAAAAAAAAAAGAAAAGAAAATGAAGTAATAGAACTTTCCTGGGTAACAGAGAAGCATATTCAGAAAACAAGATTCATCTGGATATGACCAACTACAAAGGAAGCTTTACAGAAAAGAGGAATTAAACAAACAAGAGGCAAATCAGTGAGGAAGATGTCTAGTACCAGAAATGTAGTAAGAACTGACAGTCCAGATAATGCTGCAGTCAAGTTCATAGAGAGAGTGATAGAAATTGGAGCAAAGGACACTTAAGATTCAGTGTGTGTGTGTGCATATTAAATAGAAAATATAAAAAAATAAAGTGTGAGTGAAACTTTTCCCAAATTATCAAGAAGTACCTCCATTCTGTTTCCTGGATAAGTATTTCTATTACTAATTGCCACTGATTTCTATTCAGTGACAATTTATTCCAGAGCCAAACAACACAGCAACATGTCCAGATAAGACCTAGATTTAACAGTACTGGTAAACAGAACTGGTATTTTGTTATAGGGGATTAACTGAACTTCTACTTAGAAACAGGTAGTAATAAGCCTCTTTCACTGTCCTAAACCCATCTGTTCATTCTTTCTGATAAACAAAACCATTCATTTCAAAAAGAATGCAAAACAGTACAGAATATCATAAAATTATGTATTGAATCATAAATATATAATTTGCCAGTATAGCAAAAATGATTCAAAGTACCTACATCAACCAGGAGGTCTGGGTCTATGCTAAACTGTCTTCCTGACAGCATGGCTTGGAAGTCCTCTAAACTGCAATCAATACTGTCAAGATAATCCAACAGTTCAACCCTAAGGAAAAAAATTTAAGAAACATCAGATATTAGGCTTTATTATCTTTATACTTAAAACCATGTTATAATCTAGGTAGGCAAAATATTCCTAAACACTGAATTCTTATAATTCTTTATTTTTATTATTTATTTATTTTTAATAGAGGTATACATTAGTATACTCCCATCAGGTTCTGCCACCAAAAGGTACCCACCACCAAATCACCCGCAGTCTATACCACCACAGTCAATTGTGCTTCCTTCCCTCTTTGCTGTTAGAGATCCTATTCAACATTTGGGATTTCTGAAACCTCATAGCTGTTACACATACCGTTAGCATTGGCAGGAAAAAAAAAAGATTCTGAAACAATACATCTTTTTCCTTATACTATAATTTGCAAATTTCTAAATTCTACTTTTCTTAATGCCATAAAGTTCCCTATATAAAAATTATATTATTCTACAGTCCTGATAAAAAAGCAAATACTCATAATCACACACCATTTATGGACATTCAAAGCACATAGTTCATTAAAGAAATGTGAGGAAATGCCAAGGAAATTCCAAGACTAATCTAAAATCTAAATCTTTCTCAAAATATCATTTGTGGGGATCAGCCCTAAACAGAGAATGTCAGACTACATGGATTCATAATCTGAAAAGAAAATCACTCAAAAAGAAATAGAATGTTGGAAGTCAATAACCAAAAAAACCCCAAAAAATCTAGAGAACAACTAGCAGAGCACTCACTTTCCCAAAAGATTGATGTTATCATTTAAAATGGAATCCATCATGGTCACAGGATCTTCTGTGGTCAGACTAGATGAGCCATTTAGCTGGACAGCACTAGACATGAGAGGGCTGGTGCCATCACTGCCTGAACTTAGTAATTCTCTGGCTACTTCATTCTGATCTCCACTCTGAATGACAGGTGCATACTCATCTTCATTGTCATCTTCAACAATGACAATATCAGGATACTGGCTACAGCTACATTGGCAATATGAGAAAGAATCAATTACATTTTCAGACTTGACAAATTAACTCTACCCATTCTCCAAGGAAATTCCTCAAAGTATTTATAAAAAGTTTTAAATTTCTTGTGTGAGTAGCTTAATCATAAATATTGATGCTTCATGTAAGAATCAATTAAAGGAGCTTCTCTTCAAATTTAAAAAGTGAATTCTCACTACTTTTTATTGGGAGGAAGGTAGTATTTGAACAATTTGACTTAATTTTGATTCAATAATGCAAATGTTAGTTAGATATGAGTTTATCAAGAAATAAAGCAGTTTTGAACTCTGATAAGAAAGTAACCAATGTTTTTATGGATTTTATTTCACAATCTTCTTACTTGGAGGGATCAGATATAACATCTTCGTTAGTTTCTGGAATAACTGGGATAGTTTCTTCATCTGCATTATCATCAGTGACATCATAAATAATGATGTCATCTGAAATTCGTTCCCTTGGCTTTAAACCTTCAGTCCTACTGTGTGGAACCTAAAAAATCAGGGAGAAAATGTATTAAAAAATTGAAATTATATTGACCAGACAACATACTATTTAAAAAATATTATTTGAGCACCAACTATTGAACAAATGTTGATGATACAACAGTAAATAAAAGTTATGTTATCTGCCCTTACAGAACTTACACTAATTAGTCTATTACAATTCACAGAGGGATGAGATGTATCTGCATTCTATTACATTATTTCTTTCATTGTAAGTGACCCTGAAAACAGCAAGCTGTCAAACATCTAAAGGAAGACCTTCAAATTTTTAAGCATTTTCTTATACACAAAGGGCAACAATGTGTTAAAATGTCATCATAAATTTCAAGTATTACTTGATGACCACTGTATTGATGGACATTATTTCCTTTCCGGTGACTCTCTATTTTTTACATTTTTTAAATCTTACTTGCTAAATGGTAATAATAGAAAATAGAAAGCATTTTAACTATCCAGCAGTTAAATGTTAGTCTGGCAGTTATTCTTTTTAAACTACATATATTTTTAAACAGTAAGTATACTTTAATTAAAAGACTTTCCAATGTTCTAAAGCAAAACTAAGGTCATGAGTATAATATAAAAATCGAGACATTTCAATACTAAATACAGAAAACAAAATATACAAAGAACCCAAAAATATACATTTCACATTAAGTTAACACAATTCATCCGTTATCATTTTCAGTGCTAAAAACAAAAAAGGCATATTTGAGTTTTTAAGAAACAGTGATGAGTACAAACAGATTTTAGTTCATTCTGATATGCCAGAACAATAACCTGCAACCTTTAATAGTGAATCTAAAGAAGAATTTGGAAATCTAAGATTTATAAGTACAATGATTATTAGGTAGTGAATATAAACTCTGGACAGGACAAATTTGCCACTGCATGTAACTCTGACAAATTATCCAGAAAGTCTGTAACAAAAATGAAAGCAAACACAAATGTTCTGTTACAGTAAAATAGTCTAGGATAGGCACATTTTAATAAAAGTTAGAATAAAGTTACTTGACAAAAGAATGCATATTTACATTATCAAAACATGCAATTAATGTTATAGTTAAAAAGCAAGACTAGGTGAAAGCAAGCTACAATGTAAAATGTCAAAAATAACATTTAAATGAAGTTCAGAGATACACAAAATAATACCAAATATTGCTCATGGATTCACACATACGAAATGGCCACAAAATAATACATACTAATTAGGATAGTAAAACAGGGTACAAAAATTAATTTGGGAAAAGGTAACTTTTCCAATGATATTTAGAATGTTTTATTTCTTTAAATTACCTAAAGCAAATAATGAAAACTACCATGACTTAATAAAGCTGAAGAAAATAATGAAAACTATCATGACTTAATAAAGCTGGAGGATGAGCACTTAAGATTATTATTTATGTAAGTTCTTTGTATGAAATTCTGTAGTAAAAATTTTATTTAGGATTATAAACATAAAATTCTTAATTAAAAATTACTTTATGATGGTGATTATCAGCTGGTTCTTTTACTATGTGTTGAAAGAGATTCTTCTTTTGGGCACCATTAGTGTTTAGAAGTAAAGGCCTGAAAAATCAGAACACATTTGCAAGTTCAGCAATTCAAACATGCAAAGTCTCAAAATTGCTTATAATAATTTATTCCCACAGAATGATGTTTACTTTACTTTAATCCTGAATAAAAAACTTCAGTAAGGATGTATAGACAATGATCTTTTAAAAGTGCTTTACATCTTAGGAATAGAAACTTTTTTTTTGTACTGTTTTTTTTTTCTGTACTGTTTTTATAAAATAAAACTCTTCTTTTTAGGTATTCTTCATTGCTGACTGAATTATATTACTCGTTGTAACTACACTCACATAATAAAAATTGACAATGTGATAAGAACTAGTTAGGTGAAACAGAGTTGAGCCTACAAAGTTCTGAGCATAATCAAGCAAGATTAAAACCTTAGCCTTACAAGAGAACTTCTTTTTCTCTTATCAACTATTCCTTTATCCAATATTCCTATATTTTTATTGTGACAATGACAGTTACTGACAAGTACAGTTATCATAACCCATGGTTGACACACAGATTTCTAAAGACCCTTTATTAATGGGCTGAATATTGGCAAGATCAAGTAAAAAAAAAAAATTAAGTTTTTTTCTACCATAGGACTTCTTTCAAGAATTTCCCTCACTCACGCCATCTAATGCTACATTAAATTGCTAATGTGAATGAAAAATACAGTTCTTTTTAAACCATAAGGTTGTCTGGAGATTAGCCATTTAAGCTATAATTATCTCTCTCAACAACATTAACAGATGACAGCAATTGGAATTAACACCCACTCTTGAGATATTCAGAATATAGTTTAATAATGGAAGACTATTCCTCTGGGACAACAAGCATATACTTAGTAAATGTAGGTCATTCCTGGTGATCATTACAATGTTTGGTTGTCTATATATAAGTGACAATGTTTTATCATCAAAACTTACCTTTTACGTTTCAAACTTACAAGTTGGTTATTCTGAACTAATGTAACAATAAACTGGACAATCTAAAAAGGAAAACATAAATTTAAAATTTTCAGTTGTAGGCTCCTAATTCTTTACTCCATATTAGCAAGTCTCAAAAATTAATTCAGATATTGTAAGTTCTCGACATCACATAATTTCTCATCTAGTGCCACACAGTTGAAATTTGGATATATCTTCTACTGGTTATCTAAAAAAACATACCAGAGCTTCCAGGCAGAATAAAATCAGATAAAGTTGCTGTTATCTAAGACATACAAATGCCTAAGACACTGATCAACCCAGCAATCCATCTATCTACCCACTTAAACATCCATTTATCTACCTAATATTCAGTTCAGTTGTCTTGGTAATAAGTAAAAAGCATGCCTGGATACACATCCCAACTTTTTACTTAAAATCCTTTCAAGATAATGCAAAAAAGAAGTGTTTGACAGGGAACCTTTTTCTGACACCAGTTACTCAATTAGGGGCAGAATATATGATACAATTTTCAAGTCAGAGAAAACTTAACTGCAGATTATAGAAAATTATTGTTGAGACATTACTATTCATCAAAGCTTTCTGCTGACAATGAAGAGAATTTAGTTTAAATCTCAAAGTCTAACTACATTTAAAGAAGAACTATTAAATCAGAAATATAAACAATCCTTCATATTTTATGGCCGTAATTCTTAAAGTGTGGGCCACGGATGAAGAAACATTAGTCTAAGAACTTCTTAGAAAGGCAAATTCTCCATTTCACTTCAGAACTGCTGAATCTGAAATTCTAAGGGTGGGATCAACCAATGTGTGTATTTAGCAAGTCCTCCAGGGGTTACTAGGTGAATGTGAAAAACAGTGGTTTAGGGATACACCTTGCCTTGATTATTACACTATCATCCTAAAGAATGCAAAATGGTGAAGATCAAATGTTGAACCATGAAAAGTGGCATATCACTATATGCTATGAAAAAATTAAAATAAAAACAGTGTTGGCAGACAACTTTAATTAGACTTAATAGGAATTTTCTGTAAGTATAGTGAAATACAGTAACACAATTAAATAGAGAACTGTAAATTAAAAATTTGTATGGACAGCTTTAATTTTTTTCCCTTTTCATCTCAGTTTATTTTTGACACTTTTGAATTATGGTGAATACAGTTTGTCCCCTAAAGGAGAAAATGAGACAACTAACATTTAAAACATTTAACTTCTGTACCTGACAAATCCTCTAAAGGTTAGTTCACATATAATTCCCAATTAATCCAAGGCCAAAGAAAAAGTGCAGAGCTAAAAGCCAATTCCAGGAACAGAGAAAAAATGATCAACTGTCATTAAGCATTATGTAAACCCTAACTCCACCAAAACAGACACTCAAACTCAAACTCAGATTTCATATAAAATTAAAATGTTATGGAAGTATTTTACCAACTATTCTTGCCTTTATGAAAAATAAGGCCCATAAATTATGGAGTATTTTAAGTTAATACTTAACTACAACAATGATTTATGAAAAAATCAATTAATTTTAAAAATAAAGTACAGATTAAGCTGCATCTATCATATTAAAGCAAATATCCCTATGAGTTGCATGCTGGAATCTATAAAAATTTGAAAATATATGTACTTGGACTAAAAAACTCACAGGACAAAATTATGTATTCAATTTTCACTTGTATACTAATTTTAAAATAGATACTAGTGTATCTATTTTGACTATATGCCAAAGGTTGCAACTATCACTAATCTCTGTTCCCAGCCTATTCTACTACATCCAGATCCTATCATTCATAATCCTATTTTTAGCTAAAGGCCTTTGAGCACAAATAAACTGAAACTCTCTTCCCCCACCCTCTCCACAAAAAAAACTCTGTTGCTTTAACTTAGTGTCCAGTTTACTCATGAGCAAAAAATAGCTCCCTTAATCACTTTCATGCACTACTTATTAACATATGAAAGCCAGTATGAAAAGATTAAATCACAAGGACACCATACAACAAAGAAATTTTTAGAACCCCTAGTTTATTTCAGCTCAGACAGTAAAATGTAAGTTTTATTTTGCAATACTACATTAATTGGTTTTCTACACAGACTAATAAAAGCACACATTGATAACTTATTTTTTTAATTCATAACTTGATCAACTGACTAGAAAACATATCTTCCATGAGAGTACCTATGACTTTTATAGTAAAAAATTATTAAAAGAAAAAATAACTCACACAATAAAGCCATTTTATAGTTCAAAAAACAAAAAGGCAAACTGGTTATTGATATGCTCCTAAAAATAAAAGAATCTTAAAGTTGTATCAGACAAAGCTAATGAGACATTAACTAAAAATACAGAATGACCATATTTAGCTAATGAGAAACTTTTTAATAAAAAGATTTATATACCATATGGTTTTATCTGATTTTGTAGTTTTACGTATGATCCATGTACAAATGTATAAGACACTGAACTCCATAACTAGAGAGACTTTTCCAGGTCACAAATGGTACTCATTAAACAAAGGTAAGTTATAGTCATAGGGGAGAGCTTACTTTTCGAATAACTTGTTGTTGTTGTGCATGTTTTGCTCGCAATTCTGACACCTCTTTCCAGAGTGACTCATTTTCACTATATTGTCATTTATTAAAAAAAGAAACAAAAACATTCAATCAGAAAAACAGACCACAATATCTTTATTTTTAAAGATTTATTTTATCCATACAAGAACAAGGGTACAAGCTCAAGGTATATAAGGAGTGAGAGGATTAACCAATCTCGTGGGGAACAGAACAGGCAGATTGATGGAAGCACACTGCTGAAAGGAACAGCAGGCAAGGCAGGAGAGTTCTACTGCACCCTGTGGGTCACCTCCCTGGCCAGAGATCGAACTCATTTTGCAATGGCTATGGATAGTTTCATGGCACTGCAATTTAATTCACTGCACCACCAGAGAGGGACCTCCGCAATATCCCTAAGTAAGAATACCCAAGAACTTAATATATTTGCTTTTACTATATAGCTTCATGAGACCAGGAAAACTTTAGTTCAACTGCATGGTAATAGTAATTACCTTACACAACTCCAGCATCATTGAATCATTTGTGTTTTTTCTTTATAAAGATCTATTTATTTATGCATACAGAACTGGGATACAGGCCAGAGGTGCAGGGGCGTTGAGAGCATTCACCAGAGATAGAGTGGAGAGCAGAATAGGCATATCAACGGAGTACACCATTAAGGGGAGCAGTGGGTTAAGTCAGGATAAGTCTGCTGCACCATGTGGATCCCCTTGGGGCTGGGGATCAAATTTGCACTTAAGTGACTGCAGCTAGCTTGCAGTGCTGCACCCTAATCCAGTGCACCACCAGGGAGGGCATGAATCATTCTTTTTTTACTGAAGCATCTTCTACTCATGGCTTTATACGCACACATAAAATTTGGACTCAGACCTATATCCGTAATAGTAAGTAATTGGCAATTTACTACTCTGACAATTTGATTCACTACTTCTTTCTTAAAAAGGCAGCTGACCATTAAACTGTGGCTACCAAGTGAATTTGTAACTTGTGTTTAGGAAACATTTCTTAACGAGAAGTGACACTTGCCCATTACTTGTTATATTCTAGGTCCTATGGGCTAAACATTTACAATTATTACTTACTTAAACCACTCCAAAATGTATCAAAAAATAAAATTCTATTTATAAGATGAGGACACCAAGACAAGAATTTAGAGGGTTTGCCCAAGATTACACAGATAATTTGGTAAGGGTTGAAGTTAAACTTAAGTCTGCCGGATTCTAAAACTGTATGCATTATTATTATCTGTCTCAAAACAGGGGCTTCTTAGTGGTGCAAGGGGTTAAGTCTCAGCTCTTTGAAGCTATACACAGCCACTGTAGCATGAGTTCAATCCCCAATCCTGGCCAAGGAGGTAAACCACATGGTGCTGTAGACCTGTCCTGTCTTGCCCACTGCTACAGTCAGTAAGCAGTGTATTTCAGTCAGCCACCTGTTCTACTCCCCACTCTGTCCCTGGTGAATCCTTTCTCCCCCTTCTACCTCTAGCCTACACTCCAGCTTTTGTATGTATAAATAAACCTTTTTTTAAAAAAAAACAAGCATATGAAAACACTACCAAAAAGTATTTTTAAAGTATATCCAAATATATGCTTTTCAACAGTATTTCTTTTTCTTCATTGACCATTTTTACTGAAATTATGTATCAAGTAGGGCAAGTCTCTTGTGTCCTTTTCCTCCTACATTCAGTGTCCTACTTTTTTCCTAAGGGACAGACCACAGAGAAAATTCTTAAGAAACCATAAGAGAAAGGAGAGTTAACACAGATAGTAACTTCTTTTCTTATCTGTGGTGTGAACATCATATGAAAGCTAACCTAAGCAAAATCATTTCCTACACCAGGATCAAAATCTACTGTTTCACAAGACTTATATATTCATTTTTTTTTTAACTGTCCAGGTTTATATGTTTTTTTCACCACTATTAGGAAAATATAGATGACCTCTGAACAGCACAGATTTGAGTTGCATGTATACTTAAAGCACATACATGGCATCATCAGCAGTTAAGAGAAATGTAAACAAATGTAAAGATGCAGTATTAAATCATACTTGCATAAAATTGTATGTAATATATATGATAATACTGTAATATCATAACCCCCTCCTATTGATGACGTCTCTCTCCAGTTTTAAAAAGAAAACCAATGGCCCAGTTCCCTCAACCTTCTCAATATTTAGTAACTGTAGAGTATTCAGGTAAAGTATATGGCTGCAAATAAAAAAATAAAGGAGACCTATACTTAAGAAAAATGACCTTTCATCCTACCTTCAACAACATGAACTAAGTACTAAAAGAACCAATCTCTAATCCCCAACACAGACATATATAAATCTATAAGCCTAGTACATTAAGATTTCATTTAAAAATATTTACCTTTTTAATTCAGAAAGCCTGGACTCAATAGTTTCTTGTTTAATTTGAACCTTCTGTGCACTACTTATAATTTTTGTCAAATCTTCCTGACGAATTTTATTTTCTTCTGGTTTTGAAGATGAAACCTTAAAAAAGGCACAAAGGAAAAAAAAAAAAACAGAAAAAAGGGTACAATTAGAAAATTAAACAAATACTGAATACCATAAAGTCATTCAAAATTTCTCTATTTTAAGAGGGTTCTATAATCTGTTAAGGAACTAATATCTAGTTCCAAAAGACCCAGGATATTAAAAAAGAATGAACTTCATAGCTCAAAGAGAAGAGAGAATAAATCAATCTGTTTTTCTACCTATCTGTCTAGCTAGAGACCAATTATTCCTACAGAGAAAATTTCTGCTTATTTATTTTATATATATATAAAATATGAATATCACATCAATATATAGATTTATTTGTAACTTGAAAAATGTAGAGAAGTTTCCACAGAGCAGAAATATCTTAAAAGCTTGTATTCTTTTCATTTCCTAATGCTAAACTCACTACAATTTTCCCAAGCCTCCTTTTTAATCACATTTCACATTTAATTAAGTTTATGAAATAACAGCTGCAAACTAAGCCACTGTCTTTTTTTTTTTTTTTTTTTAAAGATTTATTTATTTGTACATACAGAGCTGGGGTACAGGCCAGAGGCTCAGGGGCGGCGAGAGGATTCACCAGAGACAGAGTGGGGAGCAGAACAGGCAGATGGACGAAGTACACTGCTGAGGGGAGCAGCGGGCAGATCAGGAGAGGTCTGCCGCGCCATGTGGTCACCTCCAGGGCAGGCGGGGATCGAACTCATGCAGAAGTGGCTTTAGCTTCTTAGTGCTGTGCTTTAACCCGCTGCGCCACCAGGGAGGGCCCTAAGCCACTGTCTTTTTATGGTTCACTACCCTTTTATTCCTGTCCCCTTATATTAATAAAAATAATATATTTCAGCAAAAGCTATCAATCATTCAAAAAATGTATTACAAAGTGCCTAGCCTATGCAAGGGATTCATTTGGGGTACTGGATATTCAGTTGTGAACTACAAAAATTAAAAAACCAAAAAAACTCCAAATATAAGACTATCTAACTTCCAGTCAAAATGAAACCTCTCCTTTGGGGGTGTTTGAAAACTAAGCCCTCATTAGAGGAAAGCAGCACAGGATAAAAAATTAGATAAAGGAAGCAATGAAAGCTTTATTAGTTTAAATCACTCCAAAAAGAACACTGTAGGATTTCTATACATTCTTAATTTCAATAATTGAAATTTAAGTCTTGGCCAAGTTAGCCACGCGATTCTGTCCTAATTAAATCATGTTACTATATAGCTCACCTTCCTTTTAATGTTCTCCAACAGGTCATCCTGGCCTTGCTTGAAATAAGGATGCTGAAATTCGACAGGACCATCCCGTTCCTGCTTTACAATCCCAGAGTCAATATGTACTACTTTACGGAAACCATCTGAAAAATATTCAAAGTCAGATAACTGAAACTCACAAAAGTCAAAAAATAATAGTGCTTCTATGTAATATATTTTCCATTATCATTCAAATAGGAAAAAAAAATCTAATCAGTGGAAAATGACAATTGTCCAAATAAAGTGCTGTGTATACTCACACATATTTAACTGCCTCACAAAGCTTGCCATGTTATTGTGTTTGAAGTATTTGGGAAGAATTTCTTTTGCAAATCTTTGTTCATCCAAAACCAGAAAACTTTGGCCATTCTAAAAAATGAAAAAAGGTCACTTAGTTAAAGGTCCTCTGATAGTAGGTGATACAGATGAATCCCAAGTCTGGATAGTCCTTTTATGAGACCTTCAGACCAATATTTTATTCTTATAAATGGCAGTTAGTACCAAACTGAAAGTTTTTTGATATCAATGTTAAAAATTCAGTAGTATACCTCACATAAAGCTTCTCATTCCCTCTAGTGAATGAAATACTTAAGAATTTCCATTAAATCAGAAAGAAGAAAAAAGTAACATAGTATGGTGCAAGCACAATACCAGCATGTTATTTGTTTTAAAAAACAATGCAACTGAACAGGAATAAGATAAAATTTTTGAAGAAACAACATTTCATTATTTTTTGCAATGATATAATTGTATTCATTGGTTTGTTAGCCTTTACACAGACCCACACTTTTGATTATTATATAAAGACAGGCCAATGGAGTAGACAGCTCTGAAATAAACTCTCACATATACATTCTTTCCAAGACTTCTGACAAGGCACTAAGATCATTAGTGGGGAAGACAGTCTTTCTGACAATATAATGCTGAGGAAACTGGATACCCCATACAAAAAAACACTAAGTTGTCCTAAAAGCTGTAAACAAGATTAATTCAAAATAGATCAAAGAAATAGATAGGAAATAAAATTATAAAAATTTCCCAAGGAGTCAAATAACTGATAGAATTACATAGTTCATAAGAATTTGGTGCTAAAAAGGGACAATCAAAATTCACAGAGAATCATAGGACCATGAAATAGTCAAAAGAATCTTGATAGAAGAGAGGAATAATGATTATATCACACCAGACTTCAGACTATACCACGAAGTTGTAATAACCAAAACAATAGGTACTGGAATAAACTTAGACAGACTGATGGGAGTGCTCATAAATAGACCTTCACATTTTTGTCGTAGACAGTTAATCTACGACAATGGAGTCAAAAATATAATACTGGACAAAGGAAAGCCTCTTCCATAACTGATGTTAGGGAAACTAGAGTGGAATGTGCAAAGGAATCAAACTAGACAGTTCAAATCATACACAAAAATTAACTAATGACAAAAAAAAAAATGTGAATATTATACCTGAAAACAAAATCGATAGAAGAGAACGTAAGTAAAACATTCTACAACATAGGCTTCAGTGATGTCTTTGTGGATTTGTCTCCAACAGCAAGAAAAAAAGGAAAATATAAATAATTGGAACTACATCAAACTAAAAAGTTCTGCAGAGTGAAACAAACTAGCATTAGAGCAAAATGACTCTCTACTAAATGAGGGAGCCATAAATATTTGCACACCATACATATGACAAAGAGCGTAGTAAATACATTTAAGATCTACAAGGCACTCGGGTAACTCAACAAAAACAAATAATAACAATTAAAATGGGCAGAAAAGCCTAATAGGCACTTATCCAAAGAAGATATACAAATGGCAAACTGGCACATGAAAAAATTCTCATCATCACTTATTGCCAAAGAAATGCAAATCAAAAACCACAATGAGGTAATACCTAGCATGTATGAGAATGACCCAAATCAAAAAGACCAAAGACAAATGTTGGCAAGGATGTGGAGAAAAAGGAACTGTCATACACTGCTGGATAGAAGGCAAATTGGTCCAGCCTCAATGGAAAGCAGTATAAAGATTTGCAAAATTATTAAAAAAAAAAAAAAAAAAAAACAGCAACCATCTGATCCAGCTTTCCACTCCCAGGCATCTACCTGAACAATATAAGATCACTAACATAAAGGGTCCTATTTCTACTTTAGCACTATTTACAAAAGCAAAGCTTTGGAAATAACCTAAATTCCTTAAGGTGGATAGATGTGCAGATTAGGAAGATGTGCTATATACACACAATGGAATATTACTAATTTGTACTTAAAAAAAAAAAAAAAGCGGGGTGGGTGGTGCTTTCTTGTGGCACAATGGGTTAGGACTCAGAACTGCAAGCTAGCCACAGCCACTTCTGTGCCAGTTTGATCCCTGGCCTGTGGTGGTGATCCATATGGCACAGAGATCTCCACATGGTGAGACCTCTTCTGTCTCACCTGCTGCTCCCCTCAGCAGTGTACTTGTCAATCTGCCTGTTCTGCTACATAACACTGTCTCTGGTGAATCCTCTCACCTCCTCTGCACCTCTGACCTGTAACCCAATTCCATATGCATAAGTAAATAAATCTTAAAAAAAAACAAAAAAGATAAAACATTTGCAGTAATATGGCTGAAATTGCAATGGATTATCCTAAATGAAATATTAATATGTCACAGGAGAAAGACAAATACTAAATAGTACCACTTGTATATAGAATATAAGAAACAAAATAAAGAATCAGATAAAACCAAACCAGTAACAAACTCTCGAAATCTGATGATAGAATTGTGGTTACCATGTGGGAGAGTGGGCAGAACACAACCACTGACTATGGTGAACTATGGATACCCTGGTGTTGAGTGTGTTGTAGCAACATGCACCTGAACGGTGTGATCTGAATCATACACAACGTTGTAAACCAATGTCAACTTAATTAAAAAAAAAAAAAAAGGTATAATCAGGTAGATTAATAGACTAGAGTACAGAGTACAGAGTACAGAAACAAATCTAATTGAGAATTAAATAGACAATAAGTAACAGTGGTGTTTAAATGAGTCAATGAAAATCAGGAGGGAAAAGAGACTGAACCAGTAAGGCAAAAAAATGCAATGTGAAATTTAGAGGTAGTCCACTCATAACTGAATATACAGCAAAACAAGTAATTGTTACTTGTTAGACTGGCAAAAAAATGTTGAAAAATAACTAGGATGGTTATTAAGTAAAAACTAAAATTAAAAATGCACTGATATGGAACTATTTCACTTTGACAAGTTTTCCCATTACTTTACTACCTTCTAAATCTACCACCCCACTTGTCTTTTCCTTCAGTGAAATTTTTAACAAATATTTTAAAGCATCCTTTCTCCAATTTAGACACATCTACTTATTCTAGCAAAAAAATTATTCCCAATATCCCTCCACATTACTGAATTTATTTTTTCTAAAATGTTAAATGCCAAACTCAATGCCCTCTTTTCAGTTCTGATCTCCTACACCTCTATGGCATTTCATTTGCATTAATGACAACCACCTCCTTAAATGTGCTACATTTTAGCTTTGAAACTGCACTTTCTATTTCTCCTATTTCCTTTTAATTTTTCTTCTACCTCTCAGGAGATAACATGTTTTGAAGGTTGCTAGCCTTACTATGGTATGTTTTACACTCTTTCTTTAGGAAATCTCACCCACAACAGTATATCTAGTTACCAAATTTATTATGCACGATTATCACATTTATGCCTCTGTCCTCATCATCTCAACTTTCAACCTTGAATTATAACATTTTTACACAATGGTACTTAACTTACGAAGGTCTCAACCAATTGCCTATTTCAAACTCATCTTCCTACTTTCCCCAAGTCAACTTGTTCCTGTATCCTCTATCTTGGCATGGCCCTCTTAAAAGTTACTCTATTAAATTTGACTTCAATGATAATAACAAAAAATAAATAAATAAAAATTCTCCAATTCAACAGCTAGAAACTACAGGGGGAAATATTAAAAAGATTCCCTTTTAAGGCCCTCCCTGGTGGCACAGCGGGTTAAAGCACTGCACTGAGAAGCTTAAGCCACTTCCGCATGAGTTCGATTCCCGCCTGCCCCCGGAGGAGACCACATGGCGTGGCAGACCTATCCTGACCCGCCCGCTGCTCGCCTCAGCAGTGTACTTCGTAGATCTGCCTGTTCTGCACCCCACTCTGTCTCTGGTGAATCCTCTCACCCTCCGCATCTCTGGCCTGTACCCCAGTTCTATATGAATAAATAAATAAATCTTTAAAAAAAAAGATTCCCTTTTAAAACAAAGGGGAAAATTCCCATATTCAATGCTTTTATTTAACACCCTAATTCAGGTCTTAACTGTTGCAAAAGACTACAATAAATCGATGGTATAAAGTTCTAAAAGGGAGAACAAAGCTACTATTTATGGAAGCTATGTATGGAGCTCAAAAAACCCAAATAAGTAAAATCATTAGTGTTCACTAGCTTATCAATATACAAATGTTACTGGTATTTCTAATTACCAATAACTGCAAGAAATATATTTATAACTAGAGGATGCTATTTACAACACTTATAAACAAATAACCTAACAAGGATGTGCAAGATCTAACTGTAATACTTTGTTAACAAACAAAATGAATTTAGAAGTATATCTTGTTCCTGGAATGATCAGTATCATGCAGATATATTTTCCCTAACCTGATTCATAGTTTTTAAAGCAATCCCTCTAGAAATTCCAAGTTTTTTAAATGAAACTTGATTTTGATATATATGATATGTACATACTTTATGCATATATGTTATCTATATATAATTCTGTTTAAAAAACAAAAGTACAACACAGATCAATGATTAGAGAAGGAAATAATCACCAAAGGGAAAGAACAACTGAATACTGACAGAGAAAATAGTTAGGCTGGAGCACCCATTTCACAAACAATAAATGCAAAGTAGTTAAAGAAATGAAATGCAAATTCAGTGAGCTTTCAGAGAAGACAGACAAAAAAGTATTTTTCTCTCCTTGAAGTAGGTAAGGGAAAACATCTTGAAGAAACAAAAGACATGAATGACAAACAAAGACTGATTTACTAAATAACCCCACAATTACAAGCTACTATCTCATGAAAAGAAAGTAAAAGGACACAAACTGGGAGAAGATAGCAGCAACTGACATAAAAATTGGAAATACAGAATATTTAAGTAACTTCTAAAAATAAGACAAAATAAGCCACTCAATAGAAAAATGTTCAAACACTTCATGAAACAGGAAATGCAAATGATAAATATGAAAATGTGCTTGAAATTATTAATCAGACAAATACCTGACTGTGGTGACACTTTACATCCATTGCTGAGAAAAATTAAGAACAACATTAAGTGTTAAAGAT